CGCAGACCTCCAGGTCAGCCAAAATGCCTCCGTGTCCCCACGGCAGGGAATGTGGGAAGTGCCAGGGTGCTTTCTGTGGGAGCTGGGCAGCACTTGGAGTTTCGGACCAGCTCCTTCCTTGCCTGTGGCACTGCTTGCCTCTAGCGTAGGTGTCTTTGCATCATCTACCACTGACTGACCATCCTGGGTCCTGCATGGGGTTTCCAGGCCAAATTGTAGGGGGGAATTGCTTGCCCGGCCCTCTGCTCATGTGACCACAAGCCAGGGGGCTATGAGCCTGGGAGATGGCCAAGCAGCAGGGAATGTGGCTGGGTGCAGGCACTGGACCTGACCTCCTGGGCATCCATCTGCATATTCAGAAGTCATTCCCAGCCAGTTGGCTGCCTCTGGCCTCCTCACTCCCTCTTTAAAGTACCTGAGCACAGTGGGAGGACACATGGGCGCTGCCTCTGTGCATCCCACAGCCCCAGATGTCTGTCCTTGGGGCACCGTGCTCCTTGCAGCCCTGGAGCCGAGGCGAGTGGAGCGGGGAGGTGCGAGTGGTTCAGGATGGGACCACTTGCTGAAGACAGAGGGATGCAGCAGCTGGGGAAGGCTCAGGGGGGATTGCAGTGCTGGGGGGGTGGCAGGCTGCTCCATGCACAGCTCTCCCACCAAGGAGCACCTGGGGAGCCCGTGGGGGATGGCTCCCACTTTGGAGAGGACACGCTTGCCTTCTCTTCTGAGCATCTTCATTTCATTCCTCGGTCTTTTTCATCAGGTAAGAGGAGCCTCAGCTGCTTTTTGGTGTTTTGGAAGGTGATACTGGTGCAGGCTGGTAGTAAGGGTAGGAACCAAAGAATGCATCTGCTAACTTGGCGGGGAAGGGGCTGCATCAGTGGGAGCAGTTTGCTTGGGGCAGCACCTCCTGGTCCTGCAGCACTGGGGAGGCTGTGGAGGTGGGGGGAGAGAGCAAAGGCCATAGCCTGACACCACAGGCTCTGCTCCCTCCCTCCGATGTCTGGCAGAAAGATGTTGGTGCTGGAAGCCTCAGACAAGTGGAGGGCTTCTTGCCAGCTCTGATCTGATCTGCTTATGAGGGATGTATTGCCCTGAGTTTCTGAGTCGTGGAAGCCTTAGCACAGGGGACAGGTAAGAACCCTGACCTTGCTGTCGAGCACAGAGGCGGTGAGAAATTGTGACCAAGTGCCAAAAAGAAGGTGTTTTTGTAACAAACCGAGTGAGGTGGCAGGACCGGCTGTCTCGTGCCCATGCCACGCAGAAAGGCTTAAGGGTGGATGAAATCTATGACTGCATCGCATTTGCTGTGTGGCTTTGTTGGAAGCGGCTGGCAGGCAAAGAGGTGGCCGCAGGCGATGGTAAAGCTCGTTATACAAGGGCAGGGGTGATGCTGAGAGCTGCTGGTACACTGACCTAACCCTGGCCATAGGTGAACTGTGGTAGACTGTTAGGAAAATAAAACCCTAATGGTTGGGAGGGGTGCGGAGACAGCATAGGAGAGCAACAAGTGGTGTAGGACAACTCAGAAAACACTTGGTTTGTCAAGGCTAGTGCTCTACAAAAGGTAGAGCTCTCCCAGATGCCTGCCTGGAATACTGCGCTGCTCAAAGAAAGGCAACCTGCTAAAAAACAGTGAGAAGAAACTCATTTCCTACACTGCTCATTAGTCTGGAGGACTTGCCATGGAGCAGTCAGTCACAGGGACAGGAGACTGATGGTGTTGAAAATGATCAGACATTTCTGGGTATAGGAAAAGAATCTCAGACACTTTAAAGGTGCCTGGGAAAGACATAAACTGTCCTCCTTCAGGAATGCAAAGCTACTGCTAATTAATGTGGATGGGTAAGAAGCATCCCACAGAGATGGTTATCCTGTAATTGCTCGGGATATGAGCTTTTGTACCTTCTTGTGCAAAGCTGTTTCAGTGAGCCAACGAGCGGAGGGGATGGATCCCTGCCTGGGGTCAGCGTGACAATTTTAAGCCCAGGGATGCTGGCTCAGTAGTTTTTTCTCGTCCTTGGTAATCCCCATCCCTTTTATTCAGGTTTATTATTATTTTATTTATTCTTGTTTTGCCCAGTGCCTAGGAGCCCCTTGCTGTGTAAGACTGAACATCCCAGTGTGTCCTGCTCGCAGCAGGTCACATTCCACTTTCATCCTCTCTGTGCCCCTTTCCACCAGCCTGTTTGTACCGCCGCCAGCAGAAGCAGGCAGCAGCCATGCCCTGGCCTAGGTGCTGTGCGCCATGAATGCCTCACCAGGGGTGTTGCTGCTGCTCCTATGTTCTGCCAGCACAAGGAGCACCCAAAGCCACCTTTGCCCAGGTGCGCGTGGCAGAGGGCTCCACTGAGTGCTCACCACCCTTGTACCTGAGTTCACAGCCCACGGGGGAGTTTCCCCAGGTGCCTCCGGTGCGGGTGCAGCTGGCAGTATGGGAAGTCCGTGCTGCAGGGCACATCCAGGGCACAAACCATGTGAAATGTACTCCAGGCACCAGGGTTGCCTGGCTGGTAGTTGGGAGCTGTGACTGTGGCCAAGCTGTTGCTGCTGTCACGTGTCACCCGATAGCCTGCTCCTGGGTTTTGCAGTACCTGGGTCATTCTCTGGTGAAATAGGTTTTGCAGGGGAACAGGGATGCCCGGGAAATCTGGGAGGAAAGGTCTCCGGCCATGTGCATAGATGGCTGTGGTGTAAGGTCCTGCCCACTGGTGTTTCTTGCTCTTTCTCCAGCTCCATGCTGCTAGTGGGCTGAAACTTCAGACACCTGGAGACACTGCCAGTTTGTCACTGGAAATGATCCTCAGCTAGCCGAGGGTCAGCTCTCTGGTGTCCTGGCAGGAAGAAGAGACGATGGATGGCAGGACTGGCCCTGAGCAGGATAGCAACTGTGCCACTTCAGGGTATGGCCAGCGGCTAAAGTTGGAGCCCTGCTTCCAGAGCGATTCTCTCTTGCCTTCCCCCAGCACACCCCTGATACCGCAGCTGCTCAGCCACCCGATGGGTGGCAGGAGCCTGGATCCCACCATCCTTTTCCCCTCCTCTCAGGCAGTGGCCCTGCCTCAGGAACACGAGTGTGGTGCATCTCCTGGAGAAGGAGTGCAAGCCCTGGCTTTCCACAGGACCTGTGTCCCAGCTCCCGTGCCCTGTGCTGGCAACAGGGACCAGCTCTCTGACCAGCACCTGTGGGATCAGCTTTCCAACCAGCACCTACAAGCCAAGCGGGCCAGGGTGGAGAGCATCATCCAAGGCATGAGCCTCTCACCAACCCCTCAGGCATTTGGCACTAGCCTGGAGGCAGCTTTTGGGCATGAGAGGGAAAGGGGTCATGAGATGCCCTGGGAGAGCAAGAGGAAGCCGAGGGTGCCCCAGCAGGGCACGGGGGCAGCCAAGCAAGTGGCCCCCTCAGGGGGCAGCCTCAATGCTGAAGGCTGCCGGCAGCTGAAGGAGCAGCTCTGCTTCTTGGAGCAGCAGCTGAGACGGCTTCAGGAGAAGTTCTCCCAGGTCTGCAACTCTGTGGACACTACCCAAACCGAGGAAGGTTCCAAGAAAGCGCATCCATTGCTCGGAAAGCCTGGAAACAGATTGGACAAAGACAGTGCCACTGCCAGCAGTGACCCACGCAAAGTGCCTCTTTGGAGGAGCATCCTGGAGGTGCAGGGGCCAGAGGAGGACAAGGACAGGGATGACACAGGTGGCCTGTCCTTGGTAGCGGGGGCCCTCTCACACGCACTGAAGCATGAGCTGGCTGAGGCGATGTCCTGGGTGGTGGACTCTGTTCTGAAGACTGCCTGGCCGAAGGCAGCCAGCCACTTCCTGCAGCACCACCGCAGACTCCCAGTGCCAGGGCCAGATGCCAGGAGAGAGCATTTTGCTGCTGGGAAATGCAGAAAGCCACTTGCAAAGCCATCTCCAAGGAACACACTGGGCTCACCCCAGGCTGAGGCCCCGTCAGGAGCTCCAGCAAAGAGCCTGGGCTCTCATGCTGTCTCCTTCAGTTCAAAAGGGGTCAGAAAAAGCTCTCAGGCCCCCAGCATGAGCTTGGCTGCCCCCATCCAGGACAGCCATCTGCTGAGCCAGCTGCTGCGTTATGGCCAGCACAGCCTCTGGGGCAGCAGCTCTTGCAGGAACCCCTCTTCTCTGGAGAGGGGTCCTTTGGAGCCCCTCAACTTGCACTGGGGAACAGTCAAACTGAGGTCATCGGTCATGAGACAGCAGCAGCCTCTGAGCCCTGCTGGCATGGGCCTGGCACTGCTGCCGGCTGGCAGGGATGGCTGTGGAGAGCTGCAGGCTGCGATGGATGGGGCACCCTTCACCTCCACACATATATCCTTTGGGGGCAGCTGGAGAGGTCCCTGGGCTTGGACATGCTCCCCTTGTCCTCTGAACCCAGAGCTCAGCACAGCCACTGCTGGACTCCCCAGGGCCAAGGTCCCTGCTGCTCCACAGGGGGCTAAAATGGGGTGGGCAGGAAAGGGGTCCTGAGCCATGGAGGGGCACTACTGCTCCTCAGGGCTGGTTGGATGCTGTAGCATAGCTGGGGGTATTGGTCAGGAGCTCCCAAGCCTGCTCCTGGGCCATCCTGGTGGTCTCATGATCCTATGCCAGGAACAGATGTCTCATGGAAATCTCTGCTCCCACCAGCCTGGGAAGAGCCGTAGGGAGCAGCGGCAGCTGCCCTGGGGAGGCCAAAGGGAAAATAGAGCGGCTGCCCATCCAGTGATGAACCACCTCCATCCTGCTGCCAGGCCTTGGGGAGGATTATTGAGGGCACGAGGCATGCGTGTGCCAGGGCTAGTGCTCAAGGACACACTGAGACAGTCGGGTTGCTGTGTGCAGGCTTTCCTTGACCCCAAGGCAGATGCAGGAGGTGCTGACTCCCGGCCACCTGAAGAAGGCCAAGCTGATGTTTTTCTTCACCCGCTACCCCAGCTCCACTCTGCTGAAGACCTACTTCCTCGATGTGCAGGTAAAGTGGATCTGGATCTCAGTGTGGAGAGGCGCTGTGGAGACCCCCATGTCATGGTTCCCCGGGGCAGGGCTGGGTTTGGGGCCAGGCCAGCAGTGCGTGGCTGGGCTTGTAGGTCAGGAGGCTCCAAACTGGCTTAATACCTGTCCTTCCTCCGGCTCTTCCCCTGGCAGTTCAGCCGCTGCATCACCTCCCAGCTCATCAAGTGGTTCAGCAACTTCCGTGAGTTTTACTACATCCAGGTGGAGAAGTTTGCCCGGCAGGCGCTGCTGGAGGGTGTTGTGGATGCTGGCACCCTCCGGGTCTCCCGGGACTCGGAGCTTTTCCGTGCCCTCAACATGCACTATAACAAGGGGAATGACTTTGAGGTGAGGAGGGGAGCTGGGGTAAGGGGTGGCAGGGTGGTGGGGTTTGCTGGGTGAGGGGCAGCTGGTGGTGCTGTGTGGTGATGACTGTCTTGCTGCAGGTGCCAGGCCGGTTCCTGGAGGTGGCCAGCCTGACGCTGCAGGAGTTCTTCAGCGCTGTCAAGGCTGGCAAGGATGCCGACCCCTCCTGGAAGAAACCCATTTACAAAATCATTTCCAAACTGGACAGCGACATCCCAGAAGGGTTCAAGGCTGTCAGATGCTCCCAGGAACTGCTCCGCAGCTGAGTGAAAGCAGCCATGGGTCCTGTGTGCAGTCACCGTGTGCTAAGCACCTCAGGGGTGCTCTGCACAGCGTCTGTTGTTCTGAGTGTTTTCTCTCTGGCCTGACAGACAGCTCCTTGGGTGAGGTGTATCAGTTGCCTCAGGTGCTGGGATTTTATGCTCTGTGTTTTATTCCTGTGCTCAAAACTGGTAGGGTCTTGCCAGAGACCCTCAGAGGGGAGGGATAGAGGTGAAGCCATCAGGTCGGAGCCTGGGAAATCACCCTGCCACAGCCATGCCCCTGCCCCTTGGCCAGCTGCCTTCCTTCTCTTCTCCAGAGGGCCACAGGTCAGGGCAAACAGCCTTTCTGTTTATAAAGCAGGCAGAGGTCTTAGCAGTGGGCAAAGTTTTCTTGGCACAGCAGGCCAGTGGATGTGCTCAGTCCAACAGCACACCTTGGTTTCTGTCCAGATATAACACACCAGTGTCCAAAGAAAACAGATGGTGAATTCCAGCATTTCAAGCACCCCGTGGGGATAGCTGACCCTGTCTGGGAGATGTAAGAACAGTGGTGTTTTTTTTGTAGACAGCATGAACAACACTCCCTCCTGTCTCCCTTGTGCTGTTTGGCAAGAGCCCCCCATGCAGCTGCATGCTGTGGCCAAGCAGGTGAATGTGTGCTGGTGGAAGCAGCCCAGAGGGACCACCGACAAGCAGTAGTACCTGTGATGCTGGAGAAGAGCAGCATGCACAACCAGCCCCCATAAGCCCATTGCCTGGGAGAACATCATGTTGAACACCCACCTGTGTCCCCTTACAATGTACTTCTGCTGGCAAAACTGCCCCAAACACCTCGGCTCCGCAACCTCCCCATGGTGAAAGAGGAGCACATTGTTTGTGTCCTCTCAGTCCCTATGGGTTTTAAGCTGGTGAGGAGCTGGGCCCTGAAGTCTGCAGCTCCACTGCAGTAGGGGTATAAACCCAAGGAGGTTTCTTTTCCCTGTGACCAGGACTTGGTGGCCCCTTTTCCACCTGATGGAGCACGACAGAACATTTTGTGCTAAGGGTTCTCTTGTGCTGGCAGAGGCAGCGATGGTGGGGAAAGGCTGTGAAGAGGAGTGAGTATTGGGAGACTCATGGCAGGAGGGCTCTGGGAGGCCAATGATGTCTATCTGTGTTAATTTCTTGAGGTTTGTGTATTTTACAACCCCAAAACCAAATTTACTGGATCCATTTTTAAATAAACATATAAAGTTACCCCTTTATATGCCTAGAGACCTCTGGTAACTTCTGCTCTGAAGTATTACCCTAGGAATTTCTCGCCTTTTGTTGTGAAAAGAATCACACTGCAGCAAAAGGGCATACTCCTCCTGCTGCATCCCTGTGGAGCTGAGCAGCCCTCTCTATCAATGTTCTGGTTTAAATCTCACCTCAGTGCCTCAGGGTCAGTCTGCTCCTTGTTGTCGGAAGGATCAGGAAGGAAGGGTTGGAGGCTGATGAAGCACATCCCAAAGCCTACAGGTGCCAGACTCAAATGTACAGCATCTGAGCAGTGTTGCTGGTGGCATCATGAAGGACAGGATGGAACTGTTCCTGAAGGCAGTAACTACCTCAGATCTTAAGTGGGTAGGCAAGACTGATGCTGCTGGCGCAGGGAAGGGGTTAGTAAATTCTTTTGGCCATAGGTAAACAATTAGGGGACATAGATACAGGTTTAGTGAAGACATCCTGCTGGAACAAAACCCTGGGGGAGCCATGAAGAGCTGCTTGCCCAGGACCATGTCCAGATGGCTTTTGAGTATCTCCAAGGAGGGAGAATCCACAATATGATCATTAATGACGTTGAACTGGACTGGACCCAGTATTTGAAACAATATTTTTGCTCTAGTGTTTGCCATAAACCTGCAAGGAAGCAGGAGCTGTAGAGCTCTGTTTTACACTGGCTTTTGTGAAATGTGAACCAGCATGACCAAGTTGGTCAGGCCAGGCTGGATAAGGCCTTGAGCAACCTGGTCCAGTGGAGGGCGTCCCTGCCCATGGGACATATCCCTGCTGCATGTGACCCCTGTCACAGCGGGGTGAGCTGAATCACAGCCCCACACTCCTGCAAGGGCCTTGGAAAGCAGCAACCTGGCAGAGAAGGAAGGGGAGACTCAAATGGCCTTCCCTCCATCCAGGTCATAGGAGCAGTGCTATGGAGAAAGCAGCACACCTGCTGGGATGGGGGGAATGCTGGGGTTACTCTAGAGAGTGAAGCATAATGGGAATAGGGTGTGAATTCTTAAGAAATGAGGGTTTCACTTGTGCTGTGCAGGGTATGGTTGTAATTCCATTTACGTTCTAGCAGTGCCCATGATACAGCAGCTGGTTTTCGAGCAAAGACTAATGGGTGCCTGTCACAGGGAGATTTCCACTGATAAAGTGTGTCTGCTTGCGGGGGGAGAAGGGAGAGCCGCTGCCTCCACAGTGACCCTCTGGCTTGGGTGGGCTCTTTCTTCACCATTTCCCACTAATGACCCGAGGAAGCAATGGGAGTAGGCACTCACCTACTACTGACTCAGCTTCATCTTTAAAATCCTTTCCTTCCCTTCCCTCTACCCATGTTTCTGTGACGCATCCAAAAAGCCCACAGCCACCCGTAACTCTTTCCTCCGGGAACAATTCCTCGGGGCTATCCTTTGCAAACACATTCATACCCCATCCACAGCAATGCACCCAGTCCACACTTTGCTGCTTAACCGCAGCAGAGCCCTAAAAATCGCTGCCTGCAGGCTGCTGGTGTCCTCTTGCAGCCAGAAGAGGGAGATGCGACCACGCTGACTAAGCCAGCGAGGCCCCGAGAACCCTTACGTGCTCACCTGTGTTATTACTTACCATAAGAGCCCTTATTACTCGTGTAAAGCTAATTAGACCTTGAAGAAGTTACTAGTGAATGTTCATCCCCTTTGCCAAAATAGCTCGAGGAGAAACTCTGACAAGCTATAAAACATCTCTGTTTTTTCTTTACTCCTGCTTGACTCAGATCTGTTTGCAGTGACTGAACCAGACCTAGAAGTTCCCAGCTCAAGAAGGTGTTTTTAAAGGGATCTTCTCTCACATACACATCCATCCTGGATGTGTATTTGGCATCAGGGCAGCTCTCTCCAGGTAAGCATCCTCTGGTGAGCCCATGCTCATGAAGTCTTAGTAACATTTGCTGCCCCATTATATGCACTGGAAGGACTGATTACACAGGTTACAGCATGCAAATACCACAGTTCGTGTGACACAGATCCAACACTACTTCTCAGCTTAAGAAGATGCTCTTCCTCTGCCACATAGAGCGGCCCTGTGCTGTAGACACAGCGCTGCTCCAGGGGAAGGGGAAGCGACGTACGGGGAGACGGTGGAGATCAGTGTCAAGGATAAAGCCCCCTGTGGGGTCCCCTAGGACAGACTAGTAGCTCTAGCTCAGACAAAAGCTTTTTCTTTTTGCATACCTTGAAATTTCATATAAGCATGATCCATGGAGCAGGGGATGGAAACTGGGGAGCAGGGCTCTGCCAGCTTCAAAGCTGCATCTGGTTGAGCTGTTCTTCCCTTGACTTCAGCAATAAGAAGTTCTGTTTTAATGAGAGTGGGGCGAAGAGCCCCATAGACAGGGCTGCATTTTCCCTTCTGGGGTGCCCCAGCTGACCAGCCTGCTGCTCACAGCACTTCAGGTGCAACCACTAAAGCTTGGGTGCAGAGATGAGCAGGGTGGAGAATCACAGAATCAATTAGGCTGGAAAAGACCTTTAACATCATCAAGTCCAACCATTACCCCAGAACTGCCAAGTCTACCACTAAACCATGTCACTAACGGCCTCATCTACATGGTTTCTTAACACTTGCAGAGACAGTGATTCCACCACTTCCCTGGGCAGCCTGTTCCAATGCCTGATCACCCTCTCTGTGAAGACATTTTTCCTAATATCCAATCTAAACTGCCCCTGGCACAGCTTGAGGCTGTTTCCTCTTGTCCTATCGCTTGTTACTTGGAAGAGACCAGCCACCTCCTTGCTCCATCCTCCTTTCAGGTAGTTGTTGAGAGCGATAAGGTCCCCCCTGGCCTTCTCTTTTCCAGACTAAACACCGCCAGTTCTCTCAGTCTCATAAGACTCGTGCTCCAGACCAGCTTCATTGCTGAGAGAAGGGATATGTCTCACTGGGAGCTATGCCCAGACAGGGAGACCATCGTGTAGCCCAGGGGCTTTTGAGGGAGATAGTTACTCTAAGCAAGGGTGCACAAAGGAGGGAGAGGATAGCCAGCCTCTGCTGGAATGTGAGTGCAGACTCGCCTCCACCACCCAAACCCAGCACCAATGCTCATCTTGGAGGGAAGGCAGCTATGGTGGGAGATGGGAGGCAGGCTGCCAGAGAACAAGCACATTTGTCTGTGCATAGGCAAACACAAGCAAGTAAATCCATTTTTTAAAGCGTGTCTGATCTGGAGTATTTGAGAATGGCTATTCAAGTAATGGCAGTGAGAGCTGTGCTGTCAATCTCTAGGAGAGGCAGATTTAGGTCAACACTCAATACATGGGAGGATACGGTCCATATTTATACACTAATGCCTTCTCAGCTAACTGTACAGGCTGGTGAGTGGCAGGTGAAGGCCCATGTCATTAAGTCCCTTGTCATAAGCAGCTCTTTTCTCCATTTTTTTTTTGTAACATACAAACATTACAAAGACCTAGAATTTGAGACATTTTGTATTTTCTCCTTTTGAGATGACTTTCAGCATTTTTACAGTAAGCAATCACACCTACCATCAGCCTCTGCACTATATAAGTCATATACAGGCTTCCCAAAGCTAGTAATTGGGTTTTTTAGCACTAAGCTTTTGGTTAAAAGTTCTTAGGGTAATTTTTATTTTGTGCATTAGGGTCAAGCACCATTCTTGGGTTTGCTATTCCAATAAAATGGGCAGTACAGACACTTTCTGTGGCTATACTAAGTGTTACCTACAAAGCAACTGTTAGTAATACAGCATTAAGCCCAAT